TTGTTGTGATTTAAATTTGGGAAAACCTTTTCTTCGTGACTAAATGCTAACTATTGGTGCATTGCATTGTCACCTCAAATAAGGTGATCTCCAGGGTTTCTCTAAAAGCAATATTTGTCCCCATATTCAGATCTTTCGTCTCAAACTGTACCGGTTTATGAAAACAACGAACAAGTGCTATTATTTTTCAATTAATTATGAGGAATGTGGAGTAGAATTTTATACAAGGCTCAAAAGCGAGAAGTATACGATCGAAAACTATAAGGTATAATATAATATCGTAGATAAGAATGTATCAATATAATCGAAAAATACATTTAAACTACAAGTCCGGCATAATGATTTAAAAAATAATAATTCATATAAAAATACTGTCTTTTTTATTGTATCTTTAAATGGCACTTGTTATTTTAAATACCTACCTCCCGCCGTCCCAGATTTTGATAACTAAAAAATGTCGTCGCGGTTTTGACTTAAAAAAAATATGGTCACCTTACAGGCAAATTGCTTTATGCTTTATTAACTTCCCGAAGGAGAAGTTCATGTTTTTATCAAAAAATCCGATTCGCTAATTTATGTTTTTTCGACGTTTCAAGCCATTATGAATCGAATGAGACCAAATTTGGAAAAGTATGTGTGTGTGTGTGCGTGTATGTGAACAGATTTTTTGCCGTAAATCGACTTTTTCTCAAAAACGGTTCGACCGATTTCAAATATTTAAAGGCCATTCAATGTATCTCGATGAGGACTAGCGTTTCTGAGTTTTGTGCGACGATCGACCAAGCCGTTTCTTTATCAATAGCAGAAAAGTGAAAAATTTTCGTCCACGTTTTAGCCCGCAATTCTGAAGCGATTCTGAAAATTCAAAAACCATTCGAAAGATATTGGTTAGGAATCGTGCTTATTAGTTTTGTAAAGATCGGCCGGGCCGTTTTCTTGTAATAAAGTTTTTTTAAAAAAATTCGACGATTTTATGATTTTTTTGACGGTAGATATCATAGTCTTCAAGATCATACTAAAATATTACCGCCATACGACAACTCGTTCGTTTAGCTTTAAAAATTCGTCGAAGTTTGCAAAAATTGGCATCGTTCTTTTGGCATTTGTCAAAATTAGACCTTTCACCGACGTTGTTCAAAAACGTCTGAACCGATTTCAGAAATTTAAAAGCCATTCGATGTATCTCAATGAGGACTATAGTTTGTCAGTTTTGTGAGACGATCTGCCGAGCGTTACTTTGTAATTTGAAAAAAAATGTTAACTTTTCGTCCACGTTTAAGCTCATTCTACCTATATCATGCTATTAAAAGTACGTTCTAATTCTGCAATTGCGAGTAGAAAGGGTTTAATATTGGTATAGAAACCATAGAAATATTTCTATGCACTATGCATTCTGTGTATTCTGTGTATTCTATGTACTATGTATTCTATATATATGTAAACAAAATTCTTACTTATTATTAAGATCTCTATAAAATATCTGATAATTTCATGTGCATATGTCTAATGATCACGTTGGACCGTCAAATGGAATTTGTTAAAACTTTTTTTTATTGGATCTCTGGAACCGCTTGACCTGTCTTGTCAAAAATTTAACCAATTCTATCAATACAAGGGAAATGTTTTTGAATCATTCAAATAGGATACTCCATTGTTTCAAAAACTGAATAGCCATATTTTCCACTATTTTGCAACGTATTTTTTTGACTCGACTGGATCTACATTTGCCAAAAACTAATCTGAGCTTCTCTCCATCAATAGAATTCGAAAGCTTTTTGAATCATTCAAATCGGTTGACTCTCGAAACCGTGGACTAAAATTTGTATTTGTACTACGTACTTACGCACACATACCTACACATTTTCTGATGTATACTAAAAATATCCTTAAACGCAAAGATTGTTTAAATTTATTTAATTTTTTTCCGATTACTGTAACTTATTCGATTTTGTCCGAAATTTTATGGATCATAGTTTTGTTGTTGCCTTTTTTGAATCAACACATAATACATAATAAAACCATCACAAGAACCTTATAGGACTATTATGTTATGATTAATGTTAATAATAATAATAAAAAAATTAAAGATATTTACATTAACTTATAGTATATTTGTTGATATATCGTATATAGTTAAAATTTTCTTTTTGAGTATTTTGATTCATGTGAAATTGTAATTTGTTATTGTATAAAGTACTTGCTGTTTTGTGTATTCAGTTATAGTTGTATTTTTTACGATTTTTTTTTTTAAGTCGTGACAATTGTTTTCTACACTCAATGCGAAGAAGACGGATATTTTGCTAAGCTTAGTCAACATCTGATTCTCATTCGATACTTCTCAACTGGTCTTTGAACTTTATTAATTATATTATAACTTTCTAAGAAAAACACGGATGAAAAATAATTCTTTAAACTTTTAATTGAGCTTTTCATGGCTTAAGAGCTTTGGTCCTGCGGCTTTTGCGATAAGAGCTTCGGCCAGAGGGTTATAGGTCCGAAAGTAGCCCTTCTCCAGCATTGCTGCTTAAAAAATACATCATCGATATTAGGGAAATTATAATATCAAAAATATATTGAATATACGAGTAGATAGGTCAACCATTAGATTATTTTTTGAAATGTGTTGATAATCAGCACATCTCCCCATCAATAGAAATTGAATGCGTTTTGAATAATTTAATTCAGTTAATCACCGTGTTCTCGAAACGTTTTTGATTTATTTTTTGGAAATATTATTTTGAAAGCATCTATATGCTCCTCCTCGCAACAACCTTGCGCTCCCCTAAGGAGTCATACTTTTCCCTGAGAATTTTTTTTTCGATGACACGAATTATTATGATGATAAATTTATTTATTTAATAATGTATAGTTGAAGTTTTTATCGTTGTTTCTAATTCTAGGTTTTATTATGCTTCAATATACAAATTAATTTAATACAGTGTTTTACATAAATGCTGTATATAAATATCCTAAGATTGTATATTTAGGTAACTTGTTAATGTGAACTATATAAGCTATCTAATTTTTTTCTACACTTGGTGCAACTTAAATAGAAATTACCTCTTGCTTCGATTGTTTTTATAAAATATACTATTTTTAAAACAATCTTGTACTACGAGCATTTCTGTTAAGCAAAACACTTTTCCACATATTCGAATTCTGTTACTGTTAGTACTAGCTATGTTTTATAAAGTAATGTGTAATATTTAATAATTAGATAGCATGAGTTTGTTGTAAGCCAAATGATCTAGAAATTGAACATAATTAAGTCTGAAACGTCACAAAATAGGTATAGTGGGCTTAAAGTTCCGCGAGTGAAAAGGTTCACCACCAATATCTCAGTAACAAGTGAAGCTAGGAACTTTTTAACAACAACATTTGCAAGTACAGGGCAAAAGATGAAACGAGCAATCGCCTTAATTCGGGCAACATCCCTATCACGATATAAACGGTCACATTGACAATTTTTTAACGAAAGTATATTTTCTTATTGTTAGTCCTTGTTTAGTGTATGATACCTAACTATAATTTTGAGTTATACTTCATTCACTTGTTTTATAAAATGTATTTTTCGCTTTAATAATACGTGTTTAATAGAGTGTCCGGCGCTAGGTGTCGTCTGGCGTCACGGGACTTCCTCCTACCTACCAAAATAAGGTTTTTTAATAATATTTAGAGTTCATAAAATTTTCTGTTCATTATGTTTAAAAATGTATATATATATATAATATATATATATATATATATAGATT